AGACGAATAACGGAGATAATGTATACTATATGTTTCCAATAAATTAAATTGTCTATAACACGTAACGTGGGGAATACAAGCATTAACACACAAGTGAACCCGTGATATCCGGCATCTAGACTTTACCCATGAGGCCAACGCGCGTATATATACTGACACTAGCATTGCCCGCGGCTCCGTTCGCGTTCAGATGACCAAAAACCAAATTCTTAGGTTTTATCCGTACTTGTTTTAAGATGCTTAATTTCATATACCGTAATACAAGAGAATTTAAATCTGTATATGCTTTAAAAACTCTATACAATGCATTGGTACGTAGCAATGTAGATTATTGTTGTGTAATTTGGTATCCCTACTATCAAAACCATATTGAAAGAATTAAAAAAGTTCAAAGAAAGTTTACATCTAGACTTGTTTACACTACCAATTCTGTACCAAACAGAAAGCATATTACGTACGAGGGTAGGCTAAATCTCTTTGACATGGACTCATTATTAAAGCGCCAAAAACTTCTTGGGTTAATGTTTCTTTATAAAATATTGAATAACTGTGTAGACTCGCCAAACATAATATCTAAGATAGGACTACAAGTTGCTCGCTCTTCCGCACGATTGAGTAATTATCAACCTTTTTACATTATTTTAAGACAAAATAGATTCGGACAAAACTCACCTTTAAACAAAATCTTAATAAACTATAATGAAATCTCTCGCAAGTATCCTGTTATAGATATATTTTCAAATACAATGTACAATTTTAAAAGAAATCTTAAAGATATCATTAAGTGTTAGGTACATTTCATTTATTTTTTTAATATTATTGTCATTTAAGTAGAGTGTATGTATTACCTAATTATAAAATGTTGTGCATGCCTGTAATTTAGAGTTATATACAAAAAAGGAATTTATTAACGTTATTTTAGTGATTAAGTTTGTGTATGTACTCTAGTTGGTAAGCCTTATTCAATAAATAAAAAATAAATAAATAAATACATATTAGTATACTCTTACATTGCAGTTTTTGTATTTTTTCTCAGAAATGAGATATTTTTCCGCTGTAAAAAGTATCCTATATGTTGACCCGGATAACCAGCTATCACCATACCAATTAATTTTATCAAAATCCTTCAGTGATTTTTCTGTGATACGGTAACAGACAGATTTCTAAAAACTATAGATTCGGTCTCTGTATCGATAATAATGTCTATTTCAATAAGATTATCCAAAAAATATTTAATGTACAGATTTGACTCAGTTACAATTTTATTATATGTATATAGGTACTTATAGATTAAATAATAATGAGCAGAAAATACTATCTTCATATACATCAATGTAATACTTGAAAGTAATTTGTGTAACACAACGAATGAAGATGGAGACGTCGAATAAAATTCATGCAATCTAGTGCATATTTACAGTTAACGAGTAAACACAAAACTTTCATAACCAGATGCTGTATGTAAAATAAATCACATCTTCCGCACTCGTAATTCAAGCTTTCGAGTCAAGACATAAAACAATTTTACAATAAAATCTTCAATGACTTTCATAAGTTAAAAGCTCAATAACACAATTATATCCGCCGCCGCGGCATGATACACGTGTAAGTAATTGTTTTAAGTGATTTATAAGCGAACGGGGCTACTGCTCGTCGCTTATAAAATTGATATAGTTATAAATATTGTGTTAATCGTATTTTTATATGAGACTCAAATTTATGTTGTTTCAAAAACATGAAGAATGTTCACCTTTTTTCACGCCTATCTTTGTATGTTTGTTTGTAATATTCTTTATTCCCTCATATCGTCCAAACCACTCGATGGATATCTTTAATTAGGGTATCGTTAGATTTGTCTCATTAGTCCAAGTGTTCTTAGATAGGTAACATAAAAAATAAATAAATATGGTGGCAAATGCTAGATTCCATAATGTGAAAAAGAAAAAATGAAAATCGACGAACTATTAATATTTTATAATTATTATATATTTTAGGTTCCTTTCATCATTTTTCATTTTAAATAACAATTAAGGATATATAATGATGTAAAGTTGGTTAACATCCATTCTCGCTAATTTTCTTACTTAAAAATACTTAAAAAGCTGTAAATAAATAAATATATTATAAAAATAAAAAACCCCGAATGCACAAAAGCTAACTAAAAAGATGAAAACAAGTTCACGATGGAATATGTAGAGTATTATGCAGTCGGAGACATACATACGAGTATGTATGTATGTACATCTCGCGTCAAGGATGAAACGTGTGATTGCTTAATACTATATTCCATAGTGTACAAATTATGATTATGAAAAAAAATTTTTTTGGTAAACAATTGTGTAAGCCAAGTAAATCTGTTTGAATTTAGTTAGATCAAGGAGCTATTACCAACATACGTATTCATCACCATAATATAATTACAATTGTATGCTAACGCTGTGAAATGAAAAAAAAATTTTTTTCTGCAAGTGATTTTTAAAATAGACGTTCACATAAACTTGTATATAAACTACATATTTATTATTAGTATTTTTATCGTACGTAATCAAACGCAATCAAAATCAATATTCAAAGAAATATAAAGTACCTACTCTTTATACATGGGGATATAACACCTCCAACTTACCCATTCCGGATTGCTATTAAGAATTTCTTAACAGAAAAAACTTATGGCCCGATCTAAGACTCGAACTTAGAATCTCTGGATCTACAGCCATATATGCAGTCACTAGACCAACAAGGCAATAAAATTTTTGTATTAAATATTGGCAAAAGCCAAATTGTATTTATTAGTAGCAAAATTGTACTTTAATCAATATTGTACCATGTATGCTTTATAGATCTACATAATACCTAAATCCGTCGACTAAATTGCAAATCATTCAGGGAAAACATCTAACATCCTCTATACAGGGTCATTTTTAATTTACTGAAAACCTTTTGGGAATACACTATTTACAACATAACAATAACATCTGTAAGAAAAAAAATAATACATCTTCAATTTAACAAAAATAAAAATATTTATATTGCACCTTTTAAACGGTAATAGTCCAGCAATAGCAAAAGAAAGTGTGTATCCGGTGGAGGGGGCGGGGTGGAGGGATATAGGAAGCCGCACTTACTCATTTAAACTTGGCCAGATGCTAGAACTTTAAAGTTTAGAAGATGCAAAAAATATATTTTTATTTTTGTATGAAAATAAAAATTTAAGAAATATTACTTTTTCTTGTTACAGATGTTGTTTTTATGATGTAAATAGTATATTCCCAAAAGGTTTTCAGTAAATTAAAAATGACCCTGTATATGTATATGAATAGATATTTCAAATCTATTATGAGTTTATCACAACGACAGCGGTAACAAATTAAAATGTGATACAAAGTAAAAAGCATGTAAAAACGTAATAATTTCATATGCTGTCGTCATGGGAAAATATAACGCGTAATAGAAAGGAAAATCGTTTAGAAAATTTCTGGAAAATCCATTATATTAAACCACAACTACATTTATAGTTATAAAAATATGAATCAATATCAATATTTCAGTAGTGAGTGTGTTTGTTTGTTTGTCCTTCTTTTACGTCGAAACAGAGTAATGGGTTGGCGTGGTTTTTTGTGTGAAGATAGTTGGAGGGCTGGAGAGTGACATAGGCTACTTTTTACTTTTTACCGCGATATTATCTCATTCCCACGGGAAGACACATTATAATACAATCCAAAAAAATATTTATGATCAGAATTTCTTTTAACTTTTTTCGAAATTCATCTCATAAAGGGGTAAGATAGGTGATGAAAGTTTGTATGAAACCTTCCTTTTTAGAGATTTTTTTGTAGTTTTAGCGCGAGCGAAGACGCGGGTTCTGCTAATACATATATAAAATGTTACTTACGTTGTACATTAAAAGATGAATAATGTTTTACAGTTATACGAGGAAATAAAACTTTGCTCAAAGCTCAATTTAAAGCTTTTACTTTTAAAACAATGTCAAGACGAACAGTTCTTAGCATTTAAAGTTATGTTTCTGCACAAGCACTTATAATAAAACTGCAAATAATAAACGTTCCAGATCACTGATAACAGCTTGCATATTATAAATAAATATGTTGGAACATTAACACACAGCACCATCTAGTTCCATGGTAAGCTATGAGACTTTTGTTATGGATACCAGATGATATACTACACATATACATATAACTTTAAATACATAAATATTATAAATATAAACACCCATGAGTGGAATACAAACATTCGTGTTCATCACACAAATGAATCCCCCCAGCGGGATTCGAACCCGCGACCGCTGGCACAGCAAGTAGGGTCACTACAAACACAATCAAACGTGTCGTTTTATATATGTAGCAATATACTCTATGCGTGTCGCCAAATTGTATCTTAAATACTATAGAAGATCTATATACGAGTATGTAGGTATAATAAGGAGGTACTTGCGAATTCGTTTTCAAGATATCATGCATTATTATATTATTAATCCCTCCACGACCGCGGACACGCCGGCGTTACAGTTAACAATAGATTTCTTAGAAATTTACCTGGAAGTGGGTGTAACAAAATATTCATTAATTCATAATATCAAAATATTCATAAATTAACACGGAAAATGAACTTATATAAAAATTATGTGACAAAGAGTTGCTGTGTTAATATAATTTATGTTTTAAACATTTCGATACTTAAAATCTTTTTAATCAATCGCAAAAACAATACCGTTACTTAGCTTTAATTCTGTTTACTAATTACATGTTTGCTTCAATGTCAGTCATATTAAACACAGAGTTTAATTTTATTCCCCTCAAATATATTTTAAAAATAACTATCATATGAGAATCTACATTTATTATAGATAGATATGATAAAAATCGATTTGCAAATATATCGCGTAACATACATAAAAATACGAGTCATCGTTAAAATCTGTTAAAAAATCTTCTAAAAAGAAAACAAGTTCTAATCTATAATAATGATATTTTTTCTAGAGAGCGCACAGTGCGATGTTCTTCCGTCCTCATCGTCGCGCTAGGGGTGTCACTGATCGCGCTCGGCGTGTACACCACGGTGTTGGTGCTCACCGAATATAAGAGCCCTCGACCCTGCCTAAGCGAAGTCTGCGTTGGAACAGGTAACACATCACAGTTTCATGCTACTTGCCGATTAGAACACTTGTCCTTCAAAATGGATCCAATTTGGAAATATCTGATATATCTAACTTTAATTATTGCTGTATCTGGCTCTCCTGTATCCAAGTTAGAGGAGGAGCAACCCTGCTTTACTCAGCAGTGCACTGAAACCGGTGAGTTCCCGCTGGAAAATAAAATATCATAGATTTTTTGTTAAGGCTCAAATTGTTTATTTTTGTTGCAATGTTTTTCTTTTTCATTTCTATAAAAAATAAATAAATTTTATTAATAATAATATTATAAATATATTTGTATAATATTTAACAAGAACATATAATAATGGTACAATTAATGTGCATCTCGTACGATAGCTTCTTACGATTAATAGGCGAGAATAATAAATATTTATTTTGCGGTACATCGCGTAATTTATTACGATACATTGCATCGTTTCAAAGCTCACGCACGATCCGGCGAACCTTCAAACCTTAGAGATGTTCTGATATCCTTATAAAGCCTTGTGTTTTTTATTATACTGTAAATTTTAATTTTTATATATTAAATATGTAATATTTCTTATCTCTGTATACATATAAAGAAATGATCGCAAGCAATATACGTATATTGAAAATTACAATTTTTATTCATTTATTTTAATAAATAAATAAATAATATTTCATTATCTATTAATAAATATAATAATAATAATAACTTTATTCATAAATTTATCGAGCAAATTGTAATAAAATCATACAAGAAATTAAATTATCTGTTTAACGAATTCTTCATGGCTTCATCTTACAACAAGGTATTTGCATACGATCATATCGTTACTTAATTGTAAATAATGTATGTAATCATTTTAACGATTATAATATTCTTATGCTTAGATGCTTAGATGTAATTTTGTAAACAAGCCATTGTTTTTAAGCAAACAGTACGCAGGGTTGTATTAAGTATGTGGTTAGTTAGTGGTATTAGTTATCTTCTTTCTGAGATTTTATTTTTTCATTCTTTGAACGAATTTCTAATTAGGTCCGCCCTATAGCTTATAATATAATAATGCCTAAGTTAAAGCCTAAAGTTCAAGAATATATACTTAGAATAATTAAATAGAAATAATGAAATAGAATTTATAGTTTTTAGAATTTTTGTCTGTCTGTATGTCTGGGAACGCATGACGAGAAAACTACGGAACAGATTTTGATGAAATTTTATATGATGATAGCTGGTTATCCGGGTCAACATATAGGATACTTTTTCCTGTGGGAAATATCTCATCTCAATCTATACTAAACGGGGATGAACCCGAGCGGAACGAGGGTGAGTCGTTAGTCAAATATAATAATATTTACTTGTATGCTCACTTTATTCTGTCTTAGTGGTAGATAATAAAGAAACATTTTATTTTTCGCATCACAAATCCTTTTTGGATGATCTTTTATAATAAACACTAACAATTGTTTTAATTGTTGATATTCACGTACTTAATATTATATTTTTCATATTGTAAAAATTTAAATGCGACAGAATTTGTTACTGTAACAAGTTCGATACGTTTCTTTCTTGGTAATAACAAAATTTGGTTTTTATAAATCTTTACTTCGAATCGTCTTCAATTCTGCATACAAAAATTCTCGAAATAGTAATAGGTAAACGAGTTAGCTTGGATATCTGAAGGAAAAGATTGCGCAAAAAATTGTTATTTATATGTAAGATGTTAATATTTTTATAATTCTTATAAAAAATAAAATGAATCGAATCGAATAGCAATGAAATACATGACGCACATTTTTTATACTACACACGTCATGTTTTCTCTATGGACTCGTGTGCACGCGTATTGCCGAAGCAGTCATAAAAATTTATTGTAAAATAAGTTAAATTACGTATTAGGTACTACTTGTCAGACCGGAAATATTCACAGCTCTATTAATTTGGAGCAACTAGTACAAAGCACATGGCGCTAAAAAATGATTTTAGGTTTACCAATAAGTATTAATCTAAAAATATTACATCTTAGTTTAACTCTAGACGACGGAAAAACTACTCAATTTTATATTAAAACACCGCGTATGGAATAAGAAGGAACTGCACTGTACCTTAACTATACGTGATAGTGAACCTGAGTAAAAATGGTCACTACAAACATATATCAGTCTCAGTATAGGATTTAAATTTGATAAAGATTTCGTATTTATGGTAAAATGTGATAAAATTATGATAGAGTTGATGATTGATGAAGTGAACAATTTGATGGTATGCAAAAATAAACAAAACCGCTCCGCACGCGTTGATGTCTAATGGAATGTTTTCCTTTTGCGCGCTCGAATAAATTTACCGTGTTAGAGCATTGAACTTTTGACCAAAATATGTATATTATACCAAATGTATGTCGCAAAGCTCGTCGTACGCAGCTTACTTAATTTTTTTTTTAGATTTAATTTTAAAGAGTTTCATTCAAATTTACTATTTGTTTGTGTAATTTACTATCTGTATTTTTATTTTTTTAAACAATATAACATAAAATAACCTAATGATCATATGAAAGTATATTATATAAAAAGAAAGCAATAAAAATATTTAATGGTCTTAAATATGTTAATTTATATAGCAACCAGTAGATGCAACATCTCTCCTATTAGAACAAAAATCTATTTGAATAAATTTTAGATAAAAAATGTGTTAATATACTTTCATTTTTAAATACAATAAGCATTTCTATAATAAATAAAGATTATAAATGTTCATATCATGTTTTATGACAAGTAAATATGTGATCAAACCGTTATTAACGATAATGACCTACAAGCAATGGTTTTTTTGCACACTAAACTATTTACTTAACAAACGTGCAACGTAGTAAATAATATATAATTAAAGTATAAACAACATATGTATGTAAATTATTTATATTATATTAATAAAATATGCAATATATAGGTGATTAAAATGAAATGACAATGTTTTTTTGAATTATTCTTGCAATTAATGCCACGTGGTGGTCCAATTAGGGAAGCATACTGCGCCGTTCCGAACTGTTACGCAGCCGCAGTGATGACGTCGCGTACTTACTATTTACTACGATTGTTCTAATACGCACCTACCCTCTCTCTACATACGTGTAGTATTCTTTGTTTATAAACTAAATGTTTTGTATAGTTTCTTTTATGGTTAGCTAATTGATTTATTCATCAATGCCTAAACCAAACCAGTAAGTCTAATACCTGAAATTTTGAAATAAATTCCTATAGTATGGATATATTACAGGAACAATATGGAAGGATTTTTGACTAAGTTTACATTAAGCTTTAATATTGATATATTCGTGCATAATTATATATTTGTGTGGACCGACAAAGCACTATAAAGTATTGTTTAACGTCGTATTAGGTATATTACAAACGTTACGAAAAGCTCAGATGTATATCGATCTACAATATATAATTATTAAAGATTTCTCTTACAGAAATATCTATAACGAAAACAGAGCAGGTAATATTAATGTTTGAAAGTATATGTAACATAATAACATATTTTGTTTACGATTTAAAATAAAACGCAGTTCAGTAAACGACGACACGTGAATCTGATGCAATTGAAAAATTAACTCCGTGATGCTTTGACGATCTATTTACATATTTGTCCTACCTATTATTAACGTATTAAAATAATCTTATTTAATTGATAACAATTAAAATTTATATTTTATTTTTTATATTTGAAATTTAAATGCTTTTAATATTTTTAATTAATGGTATTATTATATATAGAATGCCACGTTTTATGAATATTTGAATAAGTAATATGTATGAAAAAATATTACTGTTATTTAATTAATTCAAGCGCATGTTTACATTAATAGTTAAAGGTAGTAGTAATGATACGCTTTTAACTTTTTATATCTTTCATTTATTTAATTTAACGAAATCTATACAATAATTAAATTAATATGTCGCAATAATAAGTAAACATTTACCAAGTCATTAGGTAATATTTAGAAAACGTCAGTAAATATAGTAGCATTTTATAATTATACTTTGTATTTATTATTGAAGTAAAAACTTCTATAGGCAGGTTTGGATGGGGAGTAAATTCATGTAAGTCGTCATCGACATGGTCACGTGATGTGTTAACGCTCATTGCCGATAGATGTCAAAACCAGATAAATGTAAATCTAATTTACAAATTTTCAATTGAATTCTTTTATTTCGTGGCTTCTAGGAGTGCCAGTTGGGCACAATTTACTTCGCCAATATCACGTACAACTTACACATTTTAATTTAAGATCAAACATTTAATTTGAATACCAAAAAATAACGACTGTTTGTTTATAGTTTTCAGTTTTCAATTCTGTCGGCAGCCCTCATGACTGCTTTTTTTTAAACTACTGCACGTTTTTTATAAAAATGAGTAAATATCATTTGACAGCATCAAGAGTCCTCGCTGCTTTGAACAAAAGCGTTGATCCTTGCGAGGATTTCTACGAGTTTGCGTGCGGCGGGTGGATAGAGAAGAACCCGGTCCCGGAGTGGGCGACGTCCTGGGACCAGTTGTCCGTTCTTCGGGAGCGTCTCACGCTTGACCTAAGAGAACTGCTGGAAGATGAGCAAAATAAAGACCTGCCTAAGAGTGTGCTGAAGGCAAAAGCTATGTATCGCACTTGTGTTGATGTTGGTCAGTGAATTTTTTAAATTTATAGCTTTGTTTTATCTTTTATGGAATAGCCCTACAGATAAAACACAAACATTTTTTTTTTTGAAAATTAGTTCTCTAGGTAACTAGATTTTTGAATTAATTTTCATATTTTATTGATTATATTATAAATATTAAATGGTTTATTTCACAGATAAACTAGAAGAAAATGGCGTCAAACCGATCGAAGATCTTCTAATTAGTCTTGGCCTACCGAAAACGCCACCAACTACAGCGAGTCCTAACTTCACGTGGGTTGATATCGCAGGGCGAAGCCGTCGTAAGCTTGGGCTCAGCGTTCTCCTGAGCCTGCAAGTTGCTGAAGATGTAAGAAATACTAGCAGAAATAGAGTAGTGGTAAGTTTGCAGTTCCGAATATATGGTCATATTAAAATTTGAACTTGGTCTAAGGGAACTTCGAGCAACAAAAGTAAATAAAGACGTTTGGAATTCCAAGCAACACATTGATTGATTAAAGGAGCTTTACAGTATACATATAAGAGATTACGCACTTAAGAAAAAAAAGAGTTTCCCCTACATCGTCTCAGCAAGTAACGAATTACGTAATAGGTGATTTTAATCTAATGCTTTCAATCCAAATTACAGAAGATTTCAATCTAACTAAAACTATTTACTTTCAATTCGAATTAATAAAAAGAAAAAAAAAACTTATTTTACAAAGGCACAGATGTATTAAAAAACAAATATCGTATCAAAAAGTTTTTACAATAATTATAATTTAATAAATAAATCCATATTATCACGAGTCATTCTACAATGATCAATTTGAAGGATGATTTGCAATTTGTCAAAAGCTTATGAATACGTCCGAACATAAAACTTATAACATCAGGACGATGACTTGTCAATGACATTAAAGCTCAGCGATCATACCAGTACAAGTAATTAGAGATCATATCACTTCGCGGAGGAGGATCAGCTTGTGCCGGGTCCTTGACTTACGCGATACCATTAAAATGATAAACGCTAGGAAATCACGAAGTGAATTTAAAAACATTGTATTATGTATTTATATTTAGTTGTGTTGTTGGTTGGGCTTATCGTAATACCAATCGAATTGAGAACCACCTCCTTTTTGAAGTCGGTTAAAAAAACACAGACCTATTTTTCATATTACACTGTAAAGAGTCTTAAAACAGCGTCTGGCACTATGAAGAGCCATACATAAATAAAAAAATGTATGTATTTGAAGCATATTTGTCATATTTTGTCCGAGATTTTCAATGAGAATCCGAGTTAATTATGTAGATGATTTTTTGTTGAATTACATCTAAATTTACTTACATTTAGTTATTTACAAAATTTACGGCGAAATCCTGTAATGATGTCTGACTAATAAGACTTAGGTTACAGATTCGACTCGCATCAGTGAATATGTTCATTAATATCATAACAATTAAAAATAATTTGGGTAATAAAAAAATAAGAATTGTTTGATAGGAAACTTAATATAATGTAGGTACAAGGGACCTATCTATATAATAAAAATGTAATTATATTCGTTGGTAGCCTCATTTAAGAACTGATATTAAATTTTTTTAAATGTTCGTAAATCTCTAATTATAGTTTTTAGGAAAAAAATATAAAAAGTTGCCCGGAAAATTATGCGAGTCAGGAGAATCTGAAATCGCTTATTTCTGTTCAACTTCTTCAACGAGTTTCGACTCAAAGATTATAAATTTTGAAATTAAGATAAGAGACCGTTTGTCGATTCAGCTATTTTTTGTAATCTTTTAGTTGGAGCAAGTGATGCCCGGCTTCTCAGACCGCTACCTACGAGAGCCAGAACAATTCGCACATGAACTGTCGGAATACCACAAATACGTCAAGGCCATGATCGCCATCGCAGATCCTGAAACGGACGCGCAAACATTTGCAGATGATATATTGAACTTCAGCAAGGAGTTAGCTTTGGTAAGTCAATATAGCCTAGTCGTTTAGGTCAATTAGAATAATATAAAATATAGAAAATTTATGATCCCTAACCTTAATACTTTCTTAGATTTACGCGAATGTTTGACATTTTTAAATAAAACTATCTTTTCGGATTATTTCGCGGATTTATTTTGATTTTTGGTTCCCGACGTTCTCTCAGTCTCTCCCGTGACCATGGATGCTGTAAAGCATACGAAACGTCGGGAACCAAAAATCCAAATAAATCCGCGAAATAATCCGAAAAGATAGTTTTATTTAAAAATCCCTAACCTTATTATTTGTAAATTGTTATTATTGTTTTCACTAAACATGACTCTCGCAGAGCCCAGGAAGATCTGAATAACTGGATTATAAAGCTAGCTGGGTTTTCAAACTATAGGTACAGTCATGAACGATTTAGTCGTTCATGGGTACAGTATACAATAATAAAAATCTTTTTTTTTTTACATAAGCATAAGAGAGTTTAGGATTCGAATAGCTGTTCCATTTTTTATATTTAAAGATTTGATTAGTCACCCTAATATTATAAACGCGAAAGTTTTTGAGTGTGCTTATCACTTTTCAGTTCTTGGTACTTGAACAACTTACCGGATTTTAGTGAAAGTAAGAATGTAGATAGCTTCCGCTAGATTTATACAGGCATTTTTATGTAGGTACATAAAGGCGACAAATAGTAAAAACAGGTCAAGAGTAAGTACATTTCTAATAAAAAAAAAAACAATAATCCTTAACTATTTCAGATCATGACGCCGGTGGAGGTGCGCCGCGGCGGCACGCACCTGTTCCACGAGGTCAGCGTGGCGCAGTTCGTGCAGGGCTCCGGCAACACCACGCACTGGGTGCAGGTACCGCCATCATATATGATATTCATGAAAAAATTATTGATGTTATGCATAGGTAGGTTACCTGATACATTTAAGATATAACCCCATGGCAGAAAAGTTCCAAATTTCGGACTTCGAAACGTTACTATTCCGGCATATTTTTTTCTCTTCTTTCAATAATAATATAGACACTTTTATACATTTCAATTTTTTTCTTGACTATTTTTGTCTTACAAGGAAATATGGTATTTATAGTTTTCATATTTGTTATCATAGTGCGCTATAGGATACTTAATCTTTTATTGCGAATTGAATTTGTTTTTTTTTTGTTAAATCAAGTTTAAATGTTTTGCTTGTTACTAATTAAAACAATATAAAAAAATACAGTTTCATCAAATTTAATGTTCCTACTTCCTAGCAAAGTTTCCGTTTCCAAACCTAGAAAAGCCTATTAATCCCTCCACGACCGCGGACTCGCCGGCGTTACAGTTAACAATAGATTTGTTAGAAATTTATTTAATTTCTTGGAAAATTACCTAGAGGTGTTAAGAAAACTAAAGTTTTTATGGAAATTTTCTCAACAGCACGACTGGCAAAAGTACATAGACTTAGTGTTCGCGGAGAGCAACGTGACGCTGGACCAGAATCTGGACCGGATCATCGTGATGGACCTGCCCTACCTGCAGAAGCTCGCCACCTTGCTGGCCGAGGCCAAGCCGGTCACCGTCGGTGAGTACTGAGCTCGATAATTGAACCTAAAATGTTTTTGATAGGTATTTCTTATTTTTAAACTCGCGATGAAACCTTGAGATAGTTAGGCAGTAGGTACTAGATGCTAAAGTTTTATAGGACTCTAAATCTATACTATAATATTATAAAGAGGTAAAGTTTGTGATCTTGTGAGTTTGTGAGTTTGTGACGTTGTAGGGGGTAATCTCTGGATCTACTGAACCGATTTTCAAAATTCTTTTACCAATAGAAAGCCACGTTCTTTTTGAGTGTCATAGGCTATATATTAACCCGAAAAAAGAAAAGGCTTTTTCGTGGTAGTCGGATTTGCAAAGTAAGTCGGAGAAAAAACGGTCGAACGAAAACGTTTCTTACGATCGCTGCCTTAACGATGAGAGATATATGATTATGTTCTAGAAAAAAGTTGTAGAGCTTAATAATGCCTACAAAAAAGTCAGTGACAGCATATGTCTAACTTTTATATTTAAGTCACAAAAAGTAGTTTCTTATATTAAAAAAATCATTTAAATCGGTAGGTCATGTTTATTGGTCATATTATCAACAATTATGAATTCTTATTAAAATAAGTAAATTTATCGTCTAAAATGTTTAAAATAAAAGACTTTTCCCTTTTACTGCATATAATTTGGACAAATGGTTAAAGAGATAATACAACATATTCGTATGTATGGACGAACCCGAGCGAGCTGTTTATCTGTTTTTCTCTTTGTACGGGCTAATCTCCGGATCTATTGGACCTATTTAAATGAAATTTTGCATGGTGGTACCTTATATCCCCGGGCAACATCTTAGATACTTTTCATCCTGGAAAATTAAAGGGTTCCCGTGGGATAGTTAAAAAACTATAACAACTTATACATCTTAGTACACAAGAACTACTGATTGGATATTAATGAAACTTTACAATAATATAGTTCATACATGACAAAAACAAATCAGCTACTTTTCATCCCGGAAAATTAAAGAGTTTCCGTGGGATAGTCAAAAAACTATAGTAACTTATACAGCTTAGTACACAAAAACCACTGATTGGATTTTGATGAAACTTTACAATAATATAGTTCATACATCAGAATAACAAATAGGTAACTTTTTATCCCGGAAAATAAGTATAATAAATAAAGTATTATGTACACAAAATAGACCCCAAAACAATAGTTATTAAAAAATTTACTGTTTGTCTTTTGCCTGTATGTCTGTTTGTCTGTTTTAGTGTGCGCGTTTCACGCGAAAAGTAATGTACCAATTTCAACGAAATTTGGTGAAGTGATAACTTATTACTCGAGTCAACATTTAGGGTACCTTTTGTATGTATGTATGTATGTATGTATGTATGTATGTATGTATGTATGTATGTATGTATGTATGTATGTATGTATGTATGTTGTATTCAGCCCTTTTTAACACACGCACGGGCCTTCCTTCAGTACGAGGTGGATCAGGCCATAGTCCACCACGCTGGCCAATATCAGAGGTGCGAGACCCGGGATTTGAACTTGCTTCACTCGGTTTCCCATGCGAGCGCGTTACCACTGGGATACCACTACCTAGATATCTTTTACTTAAAGAAAATCTTTCTTTCCCACGGGAAAATACAATAACTGGTTTTATCGAGTCCTCCCTAGAAACCTTCCTCTGGCTAAGCCTTAAGACATACATCAAAACAATATGCTTATAGGAATAGATCATAGGAAGAAGTAGAAATTACGGAACGAAGACTAGAGAGAGCGAGCGCGTGCGCGACCTCCCGGCGTAGCTATCGGTAAACGACTGGCGGACGGGGAAAAAACGATCTCGCACGATCAAACGCGATGCGCGCCCGAGTGCAGCGTTAGCTGCATAACGGTATTTTTACCGACTCTCATGATCTGAGGTATTGCGTTTGAATTGCCGCTACATCAGCCCCCCCGGAGACCGTTAAGGTCGAAAAAAATCTGTAAATCGTACTCGTCTTCCTGATCGAGTTCGACGATCTTCGATATTCCTATACGAGCATGTCTCGGGTACTTTCTGGGCTTCATCCTCAGGCGGAGCTAGGTCGCTAAGCAGATACGCTGGTTTCAACCTGTCAATTGAAACGGTGGTAGGTTTCCCTCGAATATCTATCTTGAAGAACTTGTCTCCACGTTCGATGACGATAAAGGGTCCAGCGTAAGGTGCTTGCAAAGGCTTTCGAATAAAATCTTGCCGTAAGAAGACCTGTGGCGCAGATTTTAGATCCTTGCTGATGAACACGGGTGCTGTTCCATGGTGAACTACTTGTGTGGGCTTCAACTTCCGTATGTTATGCCTCAACCGGGAAAGAAAATCGGTGTAGTCCGTTATTTCTACGGGAGAGCTATCGAGATCGAAAAATGCACCAGGTAAACGTAGGGTTTCTCCGTAGACGAGCTCGGCTGACGATGAGTTCATGTCTTCTTTCCAAGCTGAACGTATACCGAGGAGTACTAATGGAAGCACTTCGACCCAATCGTCTTTGGCGTGGCACATAATCGCTGCCTTGAGTTGGCGGTGGAATCTCTCAACCATTCCATTTGCAGCCGGGTGGTACGCTGTGGTCTTTAAATGATTTACACCTATTATCTGTGAAAGTTCCTTAAATAAAAATGCCTCGAACTGTTTACCTCGATCTGTTGTGATCTTCTCCGGACAGCCAAAACGTGATATCCAGCCAGTGACAAAAGCGTTCGCCACTGTGTCAGCTTTGATGTCATGGAGCGGTATTACCTCTGGCCAACGTGTAAATCTGTCTACGGCTGTGAGACAGTATTTATAATCTTGTGACACGGGCAAAGGTCCGATGAGGTCTATGTGCACATGACTGAATCTGTTCGATGGAGGAACAAAAGTATGTACAGGGGATCGAGTATGTCTTGAAACTTTCGAGCGCTGGCATGAAAGACAGGTGCGAGTCCACACAGCGCAATCCTTCTTTATATTAGGCCACACGTACTTTTGTGTAACCAATCTGGTTGTTGCCTTGATACCGGGGTGACTCAAGCCGTGAATGCAGTCGAACGCTTGTCGACGGAACTCTGGAGTCAGGTAAAGTCTCGGCGTTGAGCAGGAAAAATCACAGTACAGCTTCTTACCAGAGCCAGAGAGGTCTATCTCCTGGAGGTCCAGCGAAGAATTATTGTTATGTAATACTTTCTGTAGCTCGTCGTCTGTCAACTGCGACAAGGCCAGTGCATCTAAGTCTATGGCGGTAGAAATTTCATCGGTGCGTGAGAGGGCGTCAGCGACTACGTTGTCTTCACCTGCGACGTGCTTAATATTAGTCGTGAACTGAGACACGAAATCAAAGTATCTAAATTGACGCGGTGAACAATTTTCTGAGGCTTTTCTAAAGGCCGAAACAATAGGCTTGTGGTCGGTATATATGGTGAAATCCTTACCTTCAACCATATGACGAAAATGTTTCACACCTTCGTAAATTGCTAATAGCTCTCTGTCAAACGGACTATATTTTTGTTGTGCGGTATTAAGCCTTTTAGAGAAGAACGCAAGAGGCTGCCACTCGGAGTCTATCATCTGTTGTAATACAGCACCAATCGCGTTGTCTGAAGCGTCCGTCCACAGCGTTAACTCAGCTGTCGGATGCGGATGTGCTAATAGAGTGGCTTGAGCTAGACTTGCCTTGCACGCGTCGAAAGCCTTCTGAAGCTCGGTCGACCAAGTGATAGTAGTACTAGATTTGACAGCTTTACCAGATAAGAGTTGATGCAATGGAGCCTGGATTTTTGCTGCGCTTGGAACAAAACGACGATAAAAATTTGTTATACCTAGGAACCTTCGAAGTTCCCTGATGGTTTTCGGCTGAGGAAAGTTCTGTATAGCTTCAACCTTTTGTGGAAGTGGTCTGGTACCTGCTGCTGATACGATGTAGCCCAGGAATTCCACTTGTGGCTCTCCGAATACGCACTTCGACGCATTGATGACGATACCGTGGTCCTGTAGGCGCTGGAAAATTTGTTCCAGGTGAATTCGGTGTTGCGTCTCGTCCTGGGAAGCCACAAGGATATCATCAATATAAGGGTAGCAGAACTCTAAATCTCTAAGTATTTCGTCCATGAAGCGCTGGAATGTTTGAGCTGCGTTGCGTAGACCGAAGCTCATGAATGGAAACTCAAACATTCCGAACGGAGTCGTAATGGCAGTCTTGGGTACATCAGCTGGATTTACAGGGATTTGATTATAAGCCCGGATTAAATCTATTTTACTAAAAATTGTACAGCCAGATAAATTATGAGCAAAATCAGCGATATGGCGAACCGGGTATCGGTCAGGTATAGTGCGTGCGTTGAGTGCACGGTAGTCGCCGCATGGTCGCCACTCATTGTTTTTCTTAGGTACGAGATGTAACGGGGATGACCACGGGCTATCGGACCTTCTAGCAATACCTGTTCTTACCATATCCTCAAATTCCCTGACGGCGATGCGAAGCCGATCCGGTGCTAACCGACGAGGACGACTATGTACAGGGGGTCCTGAAGTCGTGCGTATGTAGTGAAGAGTGTTGTGCTTAATCACCCGTGAAGCCAGGTCTCCAGCTGGGCGAGTGAGATCCGGAAACCGTGATAGCAGGTCATGGAATGGTAAGGTACCTGTAATAGATTTTATTTGGCACAAAACATTTGATGCGGATTTAGCAAAAGCACTTAATAACGTAACATTGTCTATTAAGCGATGGTGTCTAGCATCCACAAGTAAATTATAGTGTGATAAAAAGTCTATGCCTATTATAGGTTTAGTGACGTCAGCTATGACAAAACGCCACGTAAAAGCCCGCCTGAGTCCAAAGTCTAAAGAAAGGTTCACCCAACCGAAAGTATTTATTGTGGACCCATTGGCGGCAAACAACTTATAGTCTGTCTCTATACACTTCCTATCTCGAATATACTTACGTGGATACACGCAAAGGTCCGAACCGGTATCTACTAAATATTGCACTTTACTCTTACTGTCTGTAATGAAAACGCGGCCACCAGCTACACTATCACAGTCACGCGTTGCCGCCTTCACTGACTGTTTGTCTCGTTTCCCGAATGAAACGAACACGGGGAGCGGCACTTCGTTGACTGGTTGCCGAAACGTCGATGATACCAGCAATGCCCCGGGCCAGCATTAGAGCGGCTCCGGGACCGTTGACGCCAGCGAGGAGAACGCGCTCGACTTCTCGAACGCGAGCGGGGCCTGATGGATAGCTCCGCAACTTGCCGTGACAGGTCATCGACTCGCTGAACAAGCTTTTCTATGAGTGTCATCGGATTTCCCGTCGATGTTGGAGTTGATGTCGACGCTGCTGCTACCTGGGGTTGTAGGGATACCTCGTGAATCTTGTCCACTATTTGCGCCACTGTGTCTAAAGGGAGATCGACTTGAGCTGCAATAATCGCCTGGATATGGCTAGGCAAACGGCTCGTCCACAGTGAACGTATAAATTCGTCCGGTACATCAGCTCCAGCTAGGCTCCGCAAATGTCGAAGAAACTGGGATGGTTTTCGATCTCCTAACTCTTCGTGAGTAAGTAGTTGTCTTACACGCTGCTCTTGTGATGCTGACAAGCGCGAAATTAACTCTGTTTTTATTTTTTCATATTTATTTTCAGCCGGCGGATTCGTTATGACGTCTTTAACTTCGCACACGTATTTATAGTCTATATTGGCGATTACATGGTAGAATTTTGTCGCATCAGTCGTTATATTAGCTAAAACGAACTGACCTTCCAATTGAACAAACCATAACGCCGGTTCGTTTGGCCAAAATGGCGGCACCTTAACGCCAACACGGCACACCTCTTCCTTTACGTTAGGGTTAGCCATTTTCAAAATAAAAGTTTTTATAACGTACACGAATGTCCACGATCACGTCGGGGTCACCAGTTATAGGAATAGATCATAGGAAGAAGTAGAAATTACGGAACGAAGACTAGAGAGAGCGAGCGCGTGCGCGACCTCCCGGCGTAGCTATCGGTAAACGACTGGCGGACGGGGAAAAAACGATCTCGCACGATCAAACGCGATGCGCGCCCGAGTGCAGCGTTAGCTGCATAACGGTATTTTTACCGACTCTCATGATCTGAGGTATTGCGTTTGAATTGCCGCTACATGCTAAAAAATTTTAGGTCTTGAAAAGTCCTACAGAAAAGTTCTGAACAGTATATGTCTATCTCCTAAGTTACACTCGCAATATTTATTCTTATCTATACCTATAATAAAACTTAGTCAAATCGATGTGCGCGTTTCACGCAAAAAGTACTCAACCGATTTTAACTTAATTTTGTATAGTGATAAAACTTAGTGCTCGGGTCAACATTTAGAATACTTTTTACGACAGGCAAATAATTCATTCCCACGGGAAAATACAATAACTGGTTCTATCGAATTGTCCTTAGAAATTAATATGGCTAACGTTGGCTCAACCTTAAGACATAGATCAAAACATTGTACAAGAAAATTGTAAGTCTTAAAAAGGTCTATAGAAAAGTTCTACATAGTATATGTCTATCTCCTAAGGCACACTCGCTATAACTATTTTCATTATTATATATTTCTGTTTTATTATACGTTATTTATTCTATCTGAATATAGGTACATATAATATGAATAATAAAACTGTAGAGGTCGAATGTCTGTACATAGATGGTAGAAAAAATTGCTAAAAAACGAGTCAGTTCTCTTCTTACATCCCGTAAGGAGAGAAATGGAACAAATCCAGATTTTTTCAAATTTTTTGTTTCTCTGTCTGTTTTTCTGTTCGTACTTAAATGAAATTTGATACTTTTCATTCCGTAAAATTAAAGAGTTCCCGTGGGATAGTTAAAAAATTATAGTAACTTATACAGCTCAGTACACAACAACTTATGCACCTAATTTAGTAAAATTTGGCATGCTGATACCTTATATTGCAGGTCAAACAACAGGTTACTTATTTTTATCCTGGAAAAATGAACGGTTCCCGTCGGATAGATCTGTTTGTGCTTTTCTAGAGGTGAACCCGAGCGAAGCGAGGGTGAGCCGCTAGTACTTAATATAAGGAGAAATAATATAATACAAAACATATTTCTTGTAAAAAAATTTTTTATTGATTCATAAGTGCATATCGAGTAAACGGCCTCTGTAGCTTAACTTACATAATAGTCATCTTTTATAAAAAAATTCAAGACATTACCTACATTAAAGCGTTTAAATTATGTTCTTATAACGTTCAATTTGTTTCATTAAAATGAAAAACTAGCTGTAGATGCATAAGCATAAATTTATTTTAAGATTCCTTTGTTTCTCAAGCTTGTTTGCTCGTTTTTCTATTTTTTTCAACCTGTAATAAAATATGAATTAGGTAGTGTTTATCATACATTTTAAATATTATCTAACAGAGAATTTTCTCGGGTGTAGCATATTCTCTACCGTAGTACTGATGACCACACATAGGTTTCGCGAGTCCGATTTCGAGTTCTCCCACACGATCCTTTGCAAACTGCACGAAGTCAACAATACTTATCATACCACGTACAATCTAACAGAGAAGTTCCTCTGGTGGAGCGTGTTCTCGACGGTGGCGCCGATGACGCTGCGCGGGTTCCGCGAGCTCGGGTTCTCGTTCTCGCGCGCCGTGTTCGGGCTGCAGCAGCGCACGCCGCGCTGGAAGAGCTGCGCCGCCAACGTCAACGCCAACTTCGGCGTCGCGCTCAGCTTCCTGTACGTGCGGCGCCACTTCGACGTCAGCGCGCAGCGCCGCGCCGTGGAGATGATCGAGGACGTGCGCGCCGCCTTCGCGGCCGAGGCGGCGCGCCTGCGCTGGATGGACGAGCCCACGCGCGCCACCGCGCTGCGCAAGCTCGCCGCCATACGCACCTTCGTGGGCTTCCCCGCCTGGCTCATGGACCGCCGCCGGCTCGACAAGCATTATGAGCATGTGAGTGCGCACACACACACACACACATCACATACATATATCGTGAAAATACCTAGTTTCAATCACTGTCCCAAAAAAAGAAAATGAAAAATGCATATCTACGCTAATATTACATCAAACATGCAACAAAAATACTTTAAGTTACGAATTTATTATTGTAGATATTATTCAAATATTCAGCTCAAACCATTTTGATTAATGTCTAATTTTCCTGATCATGTAGGTCGATATAATAGAGGGCGACTTGTTCGCGTCCTACCTCAAACTAACGTGGGCGATGGTGAAGAAATCCTTGGAGTCGCTCCGAGAAAAACCTGACAGAGACAGGCAAGTTACATTTTTCAAGTATGAGATTAAAATAAATGTCCATCAAAATGTTAAGTATGTACAAAAGTTTATTTGCATGCAAACTTAAAACTTCACTTCTACTGTTTAATAGGTATGTGTTTATTCATAACCACAGAACAAAAATACTCTAGGAATTCATAACGTTTTGAAGGTCAATACATATTAATCCCTTCACGACCGCGGACACGCCGGCTTATCAGAATTTCTTAGAATTTTAATTAATTTCTTGGAAATTTACCTGGAGGTGTTATTAAAAAAAACACTCTCTCGATAGATGGCGTTGTACTTATTCTGAATCGCGCTATGGTTTCGTTATAACAAGAGGCTATTTTTTATAGAATAAATTGTTTCGCTCTGAGGTATTAAAGTAATTCGTATTATTATGGACTGTTTGGGACCTATTGCCTAGTACCGTTTATATACATCTACTTCAGAAGTGATTTTTTTAGAATCTAGCTAAAACATTAGTAAACAGGCCGATATATTACGAGACGACCGCAGCGCTGTACCTCTTGATTATTTCGCTACAAAAATTACCATAAAAATTTAAATCAAGATAGATAAATAATAATATTGTTTCAGATGGGTCGCCACCGCTACAACTGTGAACGCATTTTACTCAGCAACACTCAATTCAGTTAGTAAGTATTCATCATGAGTGCTTATATTTTTTATTTAATAGCTAAGTAAGGGGTAAATGAGAAGATAGCAAAATTCTCAAATTAAATCCTTTAATTTTAATCTACTTAAAATCTTTTATCAATATATGTATTATAAAACTTATGTCTTTATTTCACAGTATTATACTTAGCTAAAATGTTCATATAGTGGCTATTTTGGGACTAACCAAAAGATAAAAAAAGATAGTTCGGACACTCGTCGGTAGGAGAGTCGACTTAGCTTGTAACACACACACAACTTTATACGATTTTCTTATAAGCATTAATTGACGTCAAATATTTGTAAACCACAATTTCAATCGCTTTCATGTTATTTTTGATGTGAAATATTTATTAGCGCGCCTAACTTTTTACTACCAAACCGATTCGTATGCCGTGACGACAAACGGCATGACGCTGTCATACCATCATGTCCCTTCTACGCCACCACCCTAGATTTCCTTGTGTGCGCGCGCGCTTATACCTACTATAACGCTCCATTGTAAAACAGTCTAAAAACTATTTAAAAAATATTTGCATATTTTCTATTCAATTAATGAATGTGTATATTATTCTGTTATTATTTATTTTTATTTATTTTACTCCATATTTCGTTATAAGTGTTTATTAATTATGACTTCTAATATTAACATGATATTTCAAATCTACCGGGCGTCCCGTAATGGACATTTTTTTCTGTAAAGCTATTCAATTAAAAAAAAACTTTAATCTAATTTTCTTTTGCACAGCGTTCCCAGCCGGCATACTACAACCACCGTTCTATGGAAATGGAATTGAGTAAGTATTGTATTAATGTAATTTTATACCTAGTATTGAAAATGTATTTTTTTATTTTAACATATTTCTAATATGTTGCAGAGCCATCAACTACGGGTCTATTGGCGCTATAATGGGGCACGAAATCACACACGGGTTTGATGATCAAGGTACCTACACCACTATCTTATATACCCCTGTTATCAAAAGTTACCAGTTATTAAGGATTGAAATACGTTAATAGTATATTATTCTTATTATATTTATGATTATTTTTCGTTTAAGTATGTTTGGTTTTGTACCAAACGAATGCATTCTTATATAGCTAACACACCACCGAATTTGGTTCGGAACGAGCTTTCAGTTTGTAACGCGTTGCGTCGCGCGTTGTACCAATTCTCCCCGTGCGAATTTTTCTGTCAAAAACGATGATTATTATTAATGGCAAAAATCATTGTTATTAGTCATATTTGCTGTTCATTGAAATTGTGCATTTTGTACCAAAACCATATATAGTATATGTAAATAATTTAAATCTATAGTGTCATAAATAGCGTTTATGTACGTCAGCTGTAAATTTAACATTACCAACGACAAGTCGTTAATAAGAGATTATAATACATATATCCTTTTAATTTATGTATTCAATGATGATTTTTACGTATGTCGTGTGCGGTGTGATGCCAAGTATGATGTAGTGTACATAACATTGTGTCCGTGGCGGCGGCAGGGCGGCGCTACGACGAGCACGGCAACCTGGCGCAGTGGTGGTCGCGCGGCACGCTGCAGCAGTACGCGGCGCGCGTGCGCTGCATCGTGCGCCAGTACGCCGGCTACGCGCTGCCGCAGCTGCCCGGCTACAAGGTCGGTCACGGTGCAAAACATTGGTTTATTATTATCAATTCATGTATCCTTTTTTATTTTTAACTAAAAATAGCAAAGTGTTTTTAAAAGCCTATTTCTGTTCACAATTTAAGAATTTATATGCGTAAAAAAGACTAATAAATATAGGTATATTTTTTAATTTTTGGAATTTTATAACTAATTTTAAACGAGGCTTCATTCGCGTAACAGATACAGTAATAAAAATATCTACCTTTAATTCAAAATATGAGCTACCTACATGTACTCCGAATTACACTTTGACGATTAACGAATCCGTTAAAAAAGTAACAAACACACTCATTCAAATTTCATATTTGTAATATTGAATTATTAATATTACATTCTTTATAATATTTTTACTTATATTTGCATTAATCAAATATATACTTGTATTGTATTTAAATGAATGTAGTAGTAGTGGAATTAATTGTATACGTAAGTAGTCAGTCCAATGCAAGACACGTGCGTGTGCGCAGGTGCACGGGTTCAACACGCAGGGTGAGAACATCGCGGACAACGGCGGGCTGCGCGCCGCGCTCGCCGCGTACGAGCTGGCGGCGGCGCGGCGGCCGGCGACGCGGCGCGCCGTGCTGCCCGGCCTGCCGCACTACACGCCGCACCAGCTGTTCTTCCTCGGCTTCGCACAGGTACTGTTTGTCACTCTCACTTCACAAGTCATATGGCCTTGCAAGACCCATTTGTAGCTCACTTCACACTTCAGTCGATTAACGTTGTGAACTACCAGTTCTACCTCCTCGGCTTCCTCACTTCTGTTGTCACGTGACTTTGCGAACGAAGCAAGCCCGTGTGCACATTAAGTTTACAGGCTATTACAGTTACATAATACATATACTTTCATCGGACCTAGTCCGGTAGATCTGCAGTACCGAATTCGAGCGTATGTAGCGGGCTTAAAACTATGCTTTATTTACTATTTTTTTTTGTTTGTTCCACTACATTTTTGTCTACTAGAAATATTTTTTTAGCTTATTTTTATTTTCAAAAAAAAACTATTAAGCAATTACATAATTATTCTAATATAACTACTGACTTAACAGAAGTATTTCAATACTCTGATTTTGTAATTAGTTTATTTGGAAATAAATGAAGAATTTTAATTTTTTATTTATTTTATATTTGAAAATTACATGAACTTACACTAATATATTTATTACCATCAGATATGGTGCGGCAATTCAACCATCGGCGCTCTTAAATCCAAAATGGTGGAAGGTGTGCACAGTCCGAACAAAATTAGAGTTATTGGTACATTAAGTAATTCAAAGGAATTCTCCGAGGCTTGGCAGTGTCCACTTGGATCTCCGATGAATCCTGAACACAAGTGTGTACTGTGGTAAAATTGTGATGTTAGATCTAAGATAACCAAAGACAAGACTTAATGTTACCCATAAGTTACCCACACCCATCGACATAGAGAGTGGACAGTGTTACTTTACCAGCCGTCAACTAAATATGACGGAAAGGTGCGACAGGGACAAAACGAATGTGCGGCCAAAAATCTTTCGTATTAATTGAAATATGATGAATGAAGATAGACATTTATAACTATTTTACATTCCATTATAATATTATAATGTTTAATAAATTATAATTTATAAATTCAACTTGGAATAAGACAGGTATTGGCCGCATATTCTCTTTCTCTTTCTCAAGTGGCCAATTCATGAGTATTGCTATGTCCATTGTCTATGTCTATGCACACACCATAGGCTAAGTGACTTAAGTCCAGTTGATGTGTAAAATATTATATCATATTAGGTACTAAATAATCTCATTAACATTTTGATATGGGCTGCTACATTTTGATAATGCTCTAGCAGTCCATCTAAACAATATTATTTATAAGTTTAATTGTTAAGATTCCCAGAATGTCTATTTTAAAGAAACATTTCAAAATATTTAGTATTTAAGTTAATAAAAAATCAAAATATGCCACATAAGTTTCTAAATGAATTTACTATTTCATAAAACAATTAATGTAACACAGTATATTATGTTTTGACAATTTTAAGCTAGGTTATATGTACAAAAACTGTAGATATAAGTGTGCAAACTCTTAAATTTGTTTACCAATACGTGATACTTTTAGTTTAGGATGCATTTTAATAAGCGCATATATTTTGGTGTTAAGTATAAAAATAATAAGTGATTTGCGAATTTATTTTAACAAAAAACTATTTATTACAAATTAAAAATTTACAAATGAACCATCTTTCATTTCTTCCTCACATATTGGAATTTATACACTGGAGCTGAGACTTTAGTTCCATTTTTAACCCTTTTAGGTTTTAGGATTTTGACATCCTGCAAATGTCGTTTAATTTCCATTTTCTGTTGAACAACAGTCAATTGCTTCTCTCTTTCTATTCTCTTGGAAAGTTCTTTATATGTCTTTTCTTTAATCTTTTTTGTGGCATTTATAATCTGTAAAAATATTTTAATACAATCCAACATTTATATTATACTTATTAACAAAATATATATTTAAAAAAGGTTGAAATAATTTATGTAACTAAAAAATTACCTCTTGATTGACTGTGGGCAATTCTATTTTATCAAGATCAGACAGCCGTGGTCTGTTAGACTTTCTGTTGATCAATGCTGGATGAGTGTCCAATCTTTTAGCTAAATCAAATTCTTTCTCCTCTCCTTCGTCCACAAAGAATATATGTGTATTAGGTGTAGAGTCTGCCACATCTGTCATGTGGAGCTGAGACTACAAAATAAAATTAGGAATTCAAAAAAAATTGTGTTAGTACTAAACAAGACTATTACTAAAATAGCCTAAAAAAATCCTAAAAGCATATTTTAAGAAATGAATGAAGTTTTACTTTCAACTATTTATTTAAACTTCCCACACCTGTAATCTTTGTATCCTTCTACTTTCCACAGTACGCTTCATATTGATGTATTTGAGGTCCTGTGTTTGCATTAATTTCACCTGTTCTGGAGTATGTTCATCTTCTTTCTTCAATTCATGATGTTCCTATTGGTAAATATTAAATAATTAATTAGTAAAAACTTTATTTTTAATATCAGAATTTATTAAATTTTTATCCTTAATATCACTGGTAAATAACTTCACAAAATGTGAATTCGTTAAAGTAAATATTGTGGATGACTTACCCCATCTTTTACTCTAGAGTTTATCATATGAAAATAAAACTCATCTGGATTTCTGTCCAATGTTCTTTTACGTAAAAGCTTAAGAGTAGCTCCTTTTTCATGGTAGTCATCAGCACGTTTTTTATAATCTTTCTTTTTCTCTAGCAAACCTAGGTGCTTTCGAGACTCTGGCTGGTGTCTTTCCTTATGAGTCTTTTGATTTGCCTTAGCGGCTTTTTTCCACGACGACATATTTACTTATAAATTTTATTAACTTTTAAGCTTTAATAGATATAAGTTTAAATATGCAAAGTTTATTTAAATTGTCACATACACATGGTACATAGAATGCATTGCATTTGACGTTAAACTTTTAAGTAACTGTCAACCGGCAAGTGTCAACTGTCAACGGATATTTTATGAATTATACCTCTATGTCAGATTGCCATAATAAAAAATAAATAAGAAGTTTCTTTTTACGTCGAATGTATTTGCGTAAAAATACTAAACTTAAGTAAGTGAACGTTTTAAGACCCTAATGCATTACTACAGACGGATTTTCCATCTCAGTAGATTTGTGTATAGCAATAGGGAGCCTCAGAAATACAAGAAATAATATCTCTAATGCACTAAACAGTCCAACCCCAAGGAACATGTTGAAGACGCCACCTAATGATGCTGAAAAAATGAATTAACATTAAAGAAAATATTATTTATAGAAAAAATATAATTGTAGGTACGTAATTTACTGTAAATGAGGCTTACATAGTAAAGTGATCCAAGTCTCCGTTGGATTTACTACAAATATTCTGGAACCACTAATTCTAACAGCTATAAACAAAACGGAACTGGTTGCTACGTCTAATCCATCACTGTAAAAAAAGGAATTTCAGCTTATATATGTAACGAGAGGCATGCGACAATTTAAGTAAGCACTTACTATATTTTATCAGTAACTTCGTTGAAGGCGTTCATGCGACTTGATTCTAAGGCCAAATATGTCGAAACTTTTTTACAAGATGGTAAACACTTACAGGAACTATTGTCTAAAAATATTGATATTGAAAAAAATATATAAAAAATATAAATAAATTCATAAGAACATAAGTCTCTCAATCATTTGCTTAATTAAATTACCAAAATTAAAGCTTCTCAAACAATTCAATTGCGTTACAATGCATGGTGGTAGAGCATTCCTTTCATTTATGTTTCTAGATTTTAAAGGATCTGAGCAGCCACAAAATCTCTCTTTACATTTTAACTGAAAAAAAATATGTGAATAAGTACTTATTTTTTGTAGCAGCTACTTCTTCTTCTATAGCTACTTTCTTCTAAAACAATGATTATTTGGAGAAAATAACGCATTGCCCAGGCTATTGTTAATACGTTATAATCAATAATAATTATTGTAGATATTTTAATTATGAGTTATTTTTACGATGAGAGTTATCAATCTATTTACTTTTTAAATAAACTGCATTGTTCGAACTAGAGATCTTAGAATCAATTTTCCTTTACACTCTATCATCTATGTATCAATTATTAAGCTCCTACCATACATAAATTCCTAGAGTATCCATCGGTTGTAATACAAGTTCCATCCACAAGTTTCTCCGGATCGCTATCCACTACAGATGTAAAAGTCAATTGAGCAAGATAGTTATATCCGGCGGTTAAAGTCATCGGCTCTATCCATTCTTCGTGGTTATATTTAGTAAAAAACTGAAAACGACTTATATCAAAAATCTGCTTGTGAAACTATTAGATTTCATAACACATTAAATCATACCTCGCATCCATTAAGAGTAGATTGATTAGAACATTGAACTGCTATACTAAGCTTTCGTTTCACTTCTAATTGAGAAACTATATCTTTACCTTTTAGTAATCTAAAAATATTGTAAATAATTTTATTAAATTTTGCCATAATACTACGAATTTAAAGATCTGTAACTTAATTTTACTTACTTTTTTGGTCGTGATATACAACATGGCCCCCATTCAGTAAGTTCTTTACTAAACAATTCCCCGCAGGGCACCATGCTAGACTGCCACCGACAACTAAGAACGATACTATGACAAGGAGGCATTACTGTCATTAATGCTTCTGGCAAAGATAAATTGTTTTTAATTAAGATATCTTCAAGAATAAAGAGATGGTCCTTCGGAGCCACTTTTCTTCGTAATACGTGGCTCAAAATTATTTGCAGACGATTGGTTGTACTGGAGTTAATTATCCTAGAGAATAAATTAAATTTAATATTTATCTTAAAACTAAGTTTAGTAATTGTTATTAATAGTTCAATTTATATATATACTTATTTACAAATTTGATTCGAAATAAACAGCAATGGTTTCCGCCGGAGGACACACTGCAACGAGAGGCATTTGGACTGACTCGTACTGATTACGAAGGTCGTTTAGAGTCAGTAATGCAGGCACTTCTAAGAAGCGCGCCCACAGCACCGCGCAAAGGACGCCCGCGCAGCACGCGCTGGCGCAGCAACATATTAGCCAACCAACACTGGAAACGCACTTATCGATCTCATTCAGATATCTATTAGACAATTATTTTCTCAAATGTAAAAGCAAACTTACCGATCGTAGTAATATTTGGAGTCTAAATATTTAAACCCATGTAAAGTAGTGGTTTTTAAAAACTGCCGAATCGCTCGAGTATACAGGGATTGTTTCATTTTTCCTAAAACGTGTGTAGCTAGACTCGATGTCTCGTGAAACACAGAAAAGTTAGCTATGAAAACAGCTGTTTGTGTCGAATGAAACAAGAAAATAAACGTGTAAAACGTTATGACTAAATGGAAACAAAAAAGAAATAATTCATGTTTAAAATACAACTTTAACGGGTAAGATCAAGGTGACTGATGACAGGTTTCTATGAAAACTTTACAAGTTCATCGATGCTTATCAAGCCGCCCTGAAATTAGAGATCTCTATCGCGCCGATTACATGGCAGCTGTGATCGATTAGCCACTTATTTACAGGGACTAAATGTTTCATTGCGGCCTTGAACCGATAATTATTCAGCTTTCAATTATACCGCTTTAAATTTCCAGCATAATGCATTTTGTATATAAATCAGAAATCGAGGCAACACAATATTGAAAGTAAAGCAAGTTAATAAAATGCCGCGAGCTTTACATAACAAAACTGTTTTGTATATGAGCCGATTCCGAAAGCCCTAATACAGACCAGACCACCTGATTGGAAGCAATACATGTCGCGCATAACACCTACGGTTCATGCACTTAGATTTTATATTACAAAAATGCAGAACCGCAGGTGCGTTGTCACTGTGAGGGCTAAGATGATATGCCACTTGCCTGTAATTGCGCTGGCTACCTTATATTATACTACTAGGCTGTACATTAGGGTGTGCCAAAAAAAGACGATATTTTTTTTTCTTCGCTCTCACCCCACAATATCTCAGAAAATGTCCCAACAAAGCTTTGTTAAAAGCAAAGCTCAAAATTCTAATTCTAAGAGGTTCTCCATCAAATTTTAACTGTTCCCATACAAATAATATGGAGAATATGTTTTTAATACTTTTTGGTCCTGTAAACTGTGACGAAAATATTTAAAAAAAATATTAATGAATGGACCTTTTTTAGTATTAAATTTACTACAAAAAGTTCTATTGAGTCAAATTTCTATCTTCAATATTTGTAATTGCAGTTGCACGAAATTTTTTGTTTAATTATTATCAATATTTCAGTTCGTAAAAGCAAAAATTTGAAAAACAAATATTCGTGAGCCTGTAACTTTGTTGTTATTGATGATATGAAAAAGTTGACACATACTTTTTTTATAGGATTTGAAACGGGAAAGGGGGGTACACTGGATCACTTTTTTTCATATGTAGTTTGCCTATATAAATAAACTATAAATTACTAATATTTACAACTAGAGCAATGAGGTGTTAAGTTGGCTGTAGAAATCTAGTTCAACTTTACCAATAATATTAATAGTTTTCTGTACGCAAAGGTTTTTTTAAAAAGTGGGAAATTATTCATTGTACCCCATATATGGGGTACATTGGATCTCCGCATGGGGTACAGTGAATCTTATTGGGGCACAGTGAATCAATCTACTATTATCTACAGTACTTATTAGTCGTTTCTCTCTCTTAATTTGTATTACTCCTTTGTTTTTTTTCTCTCTTCGTCACTAGAATCGAACTGCATAACTTTTTTACTATTAAGTTTTGCTACTTTCATACGGTTATTAATTTTATCTTGTTGACGTTGCTCAATATATTCTTTATTTTAAATTCTTTTTCCAGTGAAAATCTTATTTATCCCATAATTGGGAGTTAAAAGTACCTTGCCAATGTGTTTTATCTTTTCGCATAATATGTATGTAAGGTTGCATATGGATTATTTTTCTAGTTTTACAACTTTTCTAATTTTGTTGCCCCGTAAAACAAAGTCAATGGCATTTTGTATCTATTCAGTTATTCCGTAGTAAGGCCAATTTGAGTCTTTCTCTTACGGTGCCGTGCTATGTTGTTAATCTAAAACAAAAATTATTATTACATACTACTAATAAAATAGTCTAATTAACTCGAAATTTTGTGAAGAGTACAGTGGATCGCCAATCCACTGTACCCCACATGGAAATGGCCCACTGTTCCCCAAAGCACCACTAACAACTGGACAACGGATTCCTATAGCTTACATAATCTATACGAATCAAACAGCTATTTATTTCTGAAGCTTATTAGATTATTGTTTATGTAATTTAAAGTAAGTCATTCAATATTAAACATTTTCGTGAATTAAACACTCGAGTAGTAGAAGTAAAAAAATAGATTTGATACTCATGGACAGCCAAATGGCGGTAACACATTCTTCAACAGCGAGAGCGTGATGGACACTGGCGGGGTAGAGGTGTAAGTACTAAAGCATGCGTTCCATTATTGTGCTACGTATATAGAAAGCATAGGCAAAGAGAAGTAGCCACTGATTCACTGTGTACTACGGCTCACTGTACCCCCCTTTCCCCTACTACAAATTTGCCATTTAACAAATATTTTCTAATTCTTACAGTTTTCCTAAAAAATGCAAAAAACCGTAAATTTGAACTTCAAAACCATATAACAAGTCAAATATTGAAGATAGAAATTCGACTCAATAGAACTTTTTGTAGTAAATTTAATACTAATAAAGGTCCATTCATTCATTTTTTTGAAAAATATTTACGTTACAGTTTGCAGGACCCAAATGTATTAAAAAACATATATTCTCCATATTATTTGTATGGGAAAACTTAAAATTCGATGGAGAACCTCTTAGAATTGGAATTTTGAGCTCTGCTTTTAACAGGAGGTTTTTTGGGACATTTTCTGAGAAATTTTGGGGTGAGAGCGAAGAAAAAAAATATCATCATTTTTTGGCACACCCTACTGTACATATTAATTATTATTGTGATGTAAGCATAATAGAAAAATATCTGAAATAATTATCTAGAATTTTGAGAGAGACTGAGACTGTTATTAAAAATAGTTATCAGTGATGTAGTTAACATATTTTTCCCCAATAAAAATAAAATAATAAAGGATCTCCGTCCCCGAATAACGAAAAAAATTATGTCATACGATTTGATCTTTTTTTCTTAACCGACTTCCAAAAAGGAGGAGGTTATCAATTCGTCAGAATCTTTTTTTTCTTTTTTTATGTATGTTCACCGATTACTCGAAGATGCCTGAATCAATTTGGATTTTTTTTTGTTTCAAAGGGTATACTTCCCAGGTCCCATATAAATTTTAACGAAATCGGTAGAGCGGTTTTAAAAAAATCAACAATAAATATTTTTTTAAATAAATTGTTTAATCAAATATGTTATTAAAAAACTTTCTTCTTACAAATTACCTGCTTATTACGTTTACACTAAAATGGAAAAATAAAAACATTTACCAAAAAATAATAACCGACTTCCAGGCACTAAAATGTAAAAAATAACTAAACGGAGGTTTTCATTTAGAATAGATACCTAATCAGATATTTTCAAAGTCGGTGCCCACCTACAATGTTTTAAGATATGAATATCTAATAGGTAGGTAAATATATATTTTACGTATCGAATTATATTAGATTTGCTTTGCATCGGCTGGCACTGACTTCGATAATATCAGATTAGGTATGTATTCTAAATGAAAACCTCCGAATTGTTATTTTTTATATTTTAGTGCCTGGAAGTCGGTTTTTATTTTTTGTTAAAAGTTTTTATTTACATATTCTGAAAGTGGGCTTTGTGCCTGATAACAAAATATATTTATAATAGAAAAAAAAACAACAATTAATACTACTGCAGTGAGAATCCAAACTTTGATCCATCGTAATTCGTAACGTAACTTAAAATATCGTTACAAATTAATTAAACCTATATTATTTATATAATCAATCACAGGTTAGTTTTAAAAAAAAACTTCATGTTTAATTTGTTGTCCTTAATTTTATTTAAAAAGTTACATGCAAAACGTGACTTATATAAAAAACATGAAATATGGACTATGATGTCCTATTTCGGTCACGGCGGCCAATCTCATCGAGACTAGCCAACTGCGCAGGAATATACCATTATTAAAAAATCATATTAATAATTTTAAATATTTAATTGATTGGAAATATCTTTTAGAACATAATTTTAAAATTTTAAATTAAAAAAAAATCTTTACTTCTAAAGCTTTAGGAGATTTATAAAATTTCTCAACTGAACTCTTAATTCTAATATAACAATATTTTACAAATTGTCATATTTTTTAAACATATGAGTATGGTAATGAGGTATGTTAAGTAGGTATATTAATATAAATTTTGTCAAATATTCTTATTAAAATATAATGTAAAAAATATTATTTCAAACACATTTTCAACAACTACTTATTAAAACAATGTCACCATTAACTTTGGTAAAAAAAGTAAAAACTGTAACCATTGCAAAGCTTTTTTTTTTAAATTAATATTTTTTTTTAGAATTATGTGATTCATAATGATTAAAAATGCAATGTCATTTGCAATTGTAAAATTCTCCACTCAAAAAGGTTAATTCTAACGGAATCTTTTTTATTTTTTTACTAATATACCTATAAACAATTATTTCTGTATAAAGTACACTGTTTATGATAAAAACTGCTAAAGTTTAAGGCAACGAACTAAAAATATAGAAGGGCCCTACAGTACTCCGATCGCTCTAAATTGTGTTCACATTGAAAGGAGTGAGCGCACATCATTCGAATGAGTCGACAAGTGTCTAGTAGACGCGGACAGAAGTGCATCGGAAGAATTTGTGTAAAAAAGGTCATAAATTGCCGTCTTTTGCATTCAAAATGGTACTCATAATTCAAGGAACACCAACAAAGCTAATGGAGTAACATTCCATAGGTAAGTACAAGATTTTTCAACACAATATGTTATTTTCGTGAGTATTTTAACTCATTGAAACAATATTCTGCCATTTTTGAGTGAAAGAGAACGAATGTTTAGTTTTACTCGGGAGTAAAAGGGACATCATGTATTTGTCGGTACGGTTCAATTATCTAATGACATGCGCGACCATAGCCAGTGACTTATGATCCGCCGTTGTCCTTAGTACACGGTAAGCCAGAGATCATTTTACGATGGGCATTAGTATTTCCGAAGCGTCAGCAGAAAAAAAAGTAGGCGTGAGATTTTATATA